TGGTAAAAATTCGCGGTTTAGGCAATATATAATGGAACGCTGAAAATCTATTATTTTCCTTTTTGGAGCCTATTCAGATGGTTTTATTTCGAAAACTTCTCTTATTTCCTTTCTTAAACTTCTGTTACTTCGAGTCCTAACGGTGGTCTATGGTGTGAATCCAAATTTAAAAGTCTCAATATAGTATAAATGGTCCAAAAGGGCCACAATCTTTGAAAAAAGTCGAAAAATCGTTATATCTGTAAATCTGCTTCTAATGGTATGGATCTTTCTGAAACTTCTGGTACATGAAATTAAGTTCCCATACCACTTGTTAAATCTATCCCGATAATGATCCGTAAACAGGAAGTAGTCAAATAAATATTCGATATTTTAAAAAAAAAAGACAGTAAATAAAATCGGTGCTCTTGCAACAATCGGGATTTCACCGTCGGGTGTGACCGGATCAAAACATCTAAAGTATCGTTTGGTAGCTCGATAAATGGGCTATTGTATGACACACTTCCTGTCTGATTCCTGAAAGCCGGTTCAGTGCTGCTTGCAGGTCTAGTTATTATTTTTTTTTTTTTCCTCGGGAGCCTATTTCTCCATGATCGAAAACAGATATCGATCTGGAACCAAATTTTCTATTTGGAAACCATGTGGTGGCTACTTGATAAAACAATTTTGAAACTTCTGCGCCTACCGGAAGTAACCGAATTTTGTACTTTTTTCCGGAATTGAAAATCGGCCGTGGTTTCGTCAATTCTTTACCTATTTTCGAACAAATGACATTTTCGGAAACCCCAAATCTTTTCCGAGATATTGGCTATCTCACATTTTTCAATTTCAAACATTCAACTATGGCTTTTGTCGTTCAAATTTTGAAAATATGTTGTTTACGAGACAATTTTTGTTATTTTTCAAAATTTTCAAATTTGACCTACATTTTTGGATACCTGAAGACCATCCGATTCCAGAAATATAAGTTTCATTCCGAGTAATCGCCCTTTATTTTTCGATTTTTTTTCGAATTTTCTGCCCATTTCCCAACCCTTATATTTTTTGGAAAGGATAAATCGATAGTTCTGAAAGTCCTGGAACATAAAGCTATATAGTCAGACCGCTGCATAAAGCAATTTCAACAACGATCCGGAAACCGGAAGTAGTCGAAATAATGATAGATATTTCGAAAAAAACGCCAAAAATGTGTGTTTTGGGGAAAAACTTGATTTCTCCGTCCAGTATCAATGGATTAAACGAATAAGGATTTCGTGGAGTGGCCCGAGGAATGGACTGTCGTATGATGCCCAATTTATACAAATAGTATGACCAAGCAGCAAAATATGACATGCTGAAAATCAAGTATTTTCTGATTTGGAGCGTTTTTGGACGCCTGTATCTCTAAAACTGCTCCAAGGATTTTTCTTAAACTTTCCCTATCGAGAGTCCCTCCGGTAGTCTTGTGCATGAATCCATCCAATAAGACATTGAAATGTCTGGAATAGGTAAAATAACATACTGAAAATCGAAAAAAGTTGAAAAATCGTGAAATTTTGGAAAATGCTCTATTACATGTACTTTATTATTTAAACGAATTTTTACAAAAAAGTTACACATTCAGATAGCTGACCTAATTACGATTCTAACGATGTATAATATGTATTGAAATATTTAAATTTAATTTTCGATATATTGACATTTTTGAATTTTTGGCGCTTTTGAACATAGGATTTCTCAGGGCCATTTTATCTGATCAGATAATGTAATATATCATTACATAGTCCTGTGGCTATTTGATAAGCCAATCTGGTTATTAAAACTATCCCGACAACAATTTCCATACCGGACGTATTCAAAAAATGAAGAAAAAAGGTTTAAAAAAATAGCACTCTTGCTAAAATCTTGATTTCTCCATCAGATGTTAGCGGACCAAAAGAACTAAAGTATCGCTGGATAGCCCCATTAATGGTCTATCATATGACATCTAAAAGGATACGATTTAGATGGCTAGAAAATAAATTATGGTACGCCGAAAATCTAGTATTTTCCGTTTTGGAGCATTTTAAGACGCCATTTTCTCGAAAACTACGATTTTTCTTAAACTTTTTTTACTCAGAGTCCTATCGGTGGACTATGGCGTGAGTCCAAGAATAAAAGCATTGAAATAATATAAGTGGTCCATAAAGAATCTCAATCTTGGAAAAAAGTTGAAAAATCCTTAAATTACTGAAAATGCTCTTCTATTTTACTTTCTATGGAAAACAGCTGAATGGATTTTTCTGAAACCAAACAACTTGTTAAAATTATCCCGACAATGATCCAAAAACCGGAAGTAGTCGAAAAAATATCCGATATTTTGAGAGAAAAAAACATAAAAAGTAAAAAAATGGTGATCTTGCGAAAAAAGTGATTACTACGTAAGATTTCGAACCAACTTAAGTGTCATTGGATAGCCCGAACAATGGACGATCGTATGACATCTAAATGGTAAAAATTCGCTGGTTAGGCAATATATAATGGGACGCTGAGAATCTAGTATTTTCATTTTTGGGGGCTATTCAGATGTTTTCATCCCGAAAACTTCTCTTTTTTCCTTTCTTAAACTTTTGTTACTTAAGCCTATTCAGACGCTTTTATTTCGAAAACTTCTCTCATTTCCTTTCTTTAACTTATGTTACTTAGAGTCCTAACGGTGGTCTAGGGTGTGAATCCACATTTAAAAGCCTCAATATAGTATAAATGGTCCAAAAGGGCCACAATCTTTGAAAAAAGTTGAAAAATCGTTATATCTGTAAATCTGCTTCTAATGGTATAAGGAAGGTAAAACTGTCCAATGGATCTTTCTGAAACTTCTGCTACATGAAGTTAAGTTCCCATACCACTTATTAAATCTATCCCGATAATGATCCGTAAATAGGAAGTAGTAAAAAAATATTCGATAATTCAAAAAGAAAAGACAGTAAAAATATCGGTGCTCTTGCAACAATCGGGATTTCATCGTCGGGTGTGACCGGATCAAAACATCTAAAGTATCGTTTGGTAGCTAGATAAATGGGCTATTGTATGACACACTTCCTGTCTGATTCCTGAAAGCCGGTTCAGTGCTGCTTGCAGGTCTAGTTCTAATTGTGTTACGGAGACGCCCGATTATAAAATGCTAAACAGTTCTTGCACAACGGAAATATACAAAGAGGATTGAAAAGAAACTATCTGTCGATAATTAAACCGATGGGTGGTAGAGGTACATGTATCTGATTTGTTGATAATTTTAGTTCATCAAGAAATATTAAGGATATTTAAGGGTGAAATTCAAAGCCTGTAAAACGAATGTCGTTCTTTTTGTTCTGTATCTGTGTTTAAAAGAAAATCATCCCAGTCAAATAATCAATTAAAACAAGGTGGAAACAAAATAACGGACTACAGATGTATTTATGTGTGTAAATGGCCAACCGGATTACTGGGCTATTTTCACAAAAACGTACACATAACAGTAAAGACAAATTTCACTGTAACCCAGGTATCATTTAATCTTGTGTATCTAGCACTAATTTCTTTCACATTCGTTTAATATCAAATCTTTGTTTAAAAATTAGTAAAAATTGTTTAAAATCACCAAAAATCATCTAATTTTTACTTGTGTCCAGTTTAAAGCTGACTGATTAATTTTGATAATGAGTGTCCAATTTACAAGTATACAATTTCCTGACCACTGTTCAAAAATTTATCATTATACATCATTAATCAATTGGGTAACTGTTTATTTTTTAACAGAGACTGAGAAATTAAACACTTGTAAATTGGACACTCATTATCAAAATTGAATGGTCAGTTTTAAACTGGACAGATGTACAAATTAAACGATTTATGGTGATTTTAAACAGTTTTTACAAATTTTTAAACAAAGATTGGATATTAAAAGAATGTGAAAGAAATTAGTGCTAGATACACAAATAAATGATACCTGGGTTACAGTGTTTTGAACAGTAATTATGAATTTTAATGGAAAAGACAAATTGTTCTCAATATTTGATAGTTGATTTCTATTTTTTCTTTAAATAGCTAATAGGACATTTAATTCAGCTCTATTGGATGGCTAATTAAAAAACGCTGTAATTTTTACTGACCTTTCAATTTTAAACGAAGATGTTCAAGCTCAAATTTGTGAATGTGCAGTTTTACCATTAACAGAATTGACATTTTGACCACATAATTTGATATACTGATTTTATTTTGAATAATAACCTTGTCAAAATAATTTACCAAGGAAGGTACTTCCATACTGTTGCACAATACATGTATATAAATTTTTTTGATGGTTGCGAAAATTTTATATCACATATTAGGTATACCATTTTATTTTTCCATTTTGGTATTTCTGATGTCAAAGTTTGCGAGTTTTTCAAGAGATAACATTTTTATTCATTGGAATATTTAATTGTACAATAGATTTTATTTAACCAGAGTTGATTTCAAACACCTAGGCAAGTTCATAATAATCATAATTAAGTAGTTTGTTCAAAATCGAATAAATCTGTTTAAAAATTAGGATGGTTCAGACAGTACTTAGTCAAGATACACATACCGATATAATAAAACTATATACAGAATTTCATCACTTGCTCAGTTCTGAGTTATCATGTTCCAAAGTCCATTTATCGACAAATCAGCATGCATGTATCAAAAGAATATTGTGTACAGTATTGGTGAAATAAAGAAACAATTTTTTGTTTTAATCTATAGCAAATAGCACAACACGAGAAACTGCAAAACCCCAATCAAGTTTCGGAAAAATATGGGGAAGAAATATTTTTAAATACGTATGTAGGCCTATGTTTGATGGGTGTAAAACACTTCGATATGGTTTTTTTTCAGCTCAATGCTAGGAATTGTTAACATTTCATCAAGTTTTTCCAGGGTTTTACAAACCAGCTGAAGTATAGTTATTTCTCACAGTTCTACAAAATATTTATATTATCAATGACACATTAAAACCTAATTTACAGGATATAAAAGGATACGTGTACAAGGCAATGTAGCGAGTTTTTGTCATGGACTGTCTTTGATACACATGCTCGATACCGGATTTAAGATCATCCCAAATTTGATCCAATTCAATTTGTCTTAAACCATGTGGATTCTGTCCTCTTGACGGACCAGCCATTTTATTTTATGATGGTGTAGTTTTGTTTATTTTCACAACCTTTTATCTCTCTCTTCTTACAATTGACTAATAGCTAGAAGAGGTGATCACAACCATGTAATGTTTTACTTCATATTGTGAAAAACCTGAAACAAGAAGGCAAACATATAAAATAATGAAGAAATGTACGTCTATTAATTAACAAGGGAAATGAGGAACTGAATTCAAAACATAAGGAACTCTGTATTTGCAAGTTCCCTTTTTCATAAGCCATTTACCTCTTTATTGACTTGGCATTAGCCTACCCTATTATTAGAAGACAGCGATTTTGGTACCTTTATATAAATAGTAATACAATTAAACTACAACATGGATAAAGATTTATTTATTGCTGATGTCAGAAAACTGAAAAGACATGCTTGAATGCCTGACTTCTCAAACTTCAGCAGACACCAATTCGAAATTCAGTTAGAAGTCAGGTTAGGTTAGGAGCAATAAAATTGACAATAAATATGTCAGATCCCAAAATATGGCAGATGAAATGTAATAATTTTAATAATAAAAACATGTTAATCAAGATATAAATGATAATGAAAACAGATTAACTGTGCCAAAATTGAAAGTATGCTGAAACGATGAAAAAGTTGGCAATGAAACTGATTCATCAACAAAATACAAATGGCCGCCAACATTAGACATCAACGAATTAGTACAAATATTTTACTGAATTATAGCATTTAATCCCTCCACTACTACTAGAAAATTAATTTTTATAAGATAAAAAATACCTTTTAACAAAATAATATCACAATATTTAATCACTTGGGTCCTTTAAATATTTGCCAGATTAATTTATTTCACGCACCTTGTCTTTTAGAGAAAATTTGGCTGGGAGAAAAATGAAGAGTTAGGTCCCTTTGCCAAAGCGGTGACAAAGATTTTTACCGCCTGGACGTTTTATACCTATTCAAAAACGACGTTCGTTGTAAAATATTTTGTTTTTTGAAAACAGTCAAAAGTTTTGTGATTTCAAGCAAGATCGCACCTTTACTTTTAAATTCAATATTTAAAAGGCATAGGGAACAGTGGAAATAATGACTTGGAATAAGTTGAAATAATAACTTGCTATATGCATTCAAACGTTAGTTTCTGATATAAATTAACTTTCGCACATTTGAAAAAAAAATATCATACAAACATTCATTGGTTTAGCTGTGACATCCAAAATTTCAAGTTTTGCTTAATATTTCAAAGTAAGTTACGGCCACCACGGCTGGATTGACCATTAATATTATTATAAAGTAACATAAGCTGATACTTAAATTGGGCACCATGGGAAGGGGGCACCAATTAAGTTCTGCTTTTAGATGATAAATTTAAAATATTTAATTAAAAAATTAATCAGGAAGTTCTAATTAGGTTGTTTTTTTTTTGTATTGTTTTTATTTTTCCTTGCTGTTACATTTGTCGCAATTAAAAATGAGATATAAAACTGCAGAAAAATTCTAACCACGTGCTTTTTGTGGCTTGTTTATGGTTTATATTTTGATATGGGGGCACGAAAATCTTTAAAGTGCTTAGGGCTTTTAAAACAACTTATTTTGTTGGGTAAAACAACACCTAGGGGTCTATATTTGAATAGATTATCAATGCACTAATTTTCCTAGCACCAAGGGTTAATGAACTGTGGACCCGCCCTTATGTGGAGAAAATAATATGCCCAAGAACCAAGAACTAACAATTATCAAATATGACTGAGTTGCCATTTTATTTTCGATACATATCTTGGGGTTGGGTTTTCTATTATTTTTTTTAATTTTTATTTTATATATATATATGTATATATATATATTTCTTTTTTTTTATCTTTTTTTTACTGCATACGAATCAAGCAGCGCGATCAGTTAACAACACATAAAAATAAACAATTAAAAGCATTTAGAGAGTACATGGAAGTTTTACATTCATACAAAGCGAGACTCAAATGTTTGAGAATTCTTGGCAATTTACTCAGATTGTGAGGGGGCCCTAATTAAGCTGTTCATGCTTATTTAGCCCTAAATCAAATCGGATGTTCCTGCATGACACTGTTTGCTCTATCTGGATTTTATTGTGCAGTTTTCCTGTAGGATCTTTGGATGAAATAACTATACTGAAGTTTATCGATTTGGTCAACCTTTTTTTTTTAATTTTAAAAACCAAACCCAATTCACTGCACACAACATAATTATATTGTATATTGATTATAGTGTACTATAATATTGTAGTGGGTCTTTGTAGGTGGGGGTCTAAAATGCGCATGCAATAATATTGTTTATATTATCGTTTTGTTTGTATGTAAAGATCACATGACTAGTGTTTCTATATTTAGATAAAGTAACGGATATTGTGTGGATTTGGGAAACGGATGTTTGTAAAGTAGTAATAAAAAGAATTACCCAATCTAAAGTTAGGTATAAATATGTTCAAGAAAAGTAAGTTGACAATAAATGGAACTTTTACTTAAATAGCCCATATCATGGCAAATCTATTATATCTATAATCCAGGCCAACATTGGCAACAATATAGGCCCTACGATGAGTAGATCTACATTTATAAAAAAAAAGCTGATTCTTTATTATAATAGTTAAAAATGAAATGTAGAATTACTAGAATACGACGATAGTTATTGTGGGTATCCACTTCAGACATCGTAATCTGTATTCTCACACATAAGTCACATTCTTGCCTGGATGGGACAAAAACAATGTTCTCTGAATATCATTATTTAGGGGGGTTGGATGGCTGAATGGTTAGCGAGTGCGCTCTGTATCATAAGGTCTGTCATTGAGTCAACTGGCATGGTTTCAATTCCCCGGTTGTACGACAAGCAGTAGGGTTGATCATCTGTCTAACATGGGTTTTCTCTGGTTTCCCCCCACTGCTAAACACCCGGCCCTACGCGCAAGCAAATTATTGAAATTAAATTGAACCATGTGTTAGTCCCGAAATGATCTAGTTTGTGTTGAGTGGTTAAACTCTCTCTCTCTCTCATATCATTAATTTAAAAAAGATCCCCAAGCTGGCGGAGTAAACCTTGTTTGTGCTGCTGCAAAGGCAATATTTCCCACATAATCATATAGCAGACTGCAATGGCATCTGCATGAAATTTTGCTCTGTTGGTGCAGAAAAGTTAAACATTAAACCTCATTTCATTTTATTTGTAATAGTATTTATTACTGAGTTATGCATGGCCACTATTAATTAATTGTGTTGTTGGTCATTTTACTAAAAGAAAAATCCATGCAGTCCTAGATAAGTGACTGAAAAGTCTATCTCTTTACGCAGATGGTGGCTAGGAATACTGATACATGTATATATATAGGAGCTGTTTCAATTTGAAGAAAATGGTCATCTTTAAGTCAATAATAGACACTTTAAGCTTTGCCCAGACACATTCTGGCTATTTATGTTAGGTTTTCATTGGTGTGATGGAAGTTCTAAGCATTAAATGTAGCTCAGGCTGCTGAGCAGATCATTGATTTTCATAGGAAAAGTGAAAAGTGTTAAGCTGGTTTCAACTTAAAATTGAATTGTAAAAAAAATTAATTAAATGTCATCCATTAATTTTAATATTTCTAGAAGATAAAACACCCAAATCCCCGTATCCTAAACAAGAATATGTTGCTGTCCCTGGTCAACCATCAGGTTTCCATCAGCAACCAGGAACATATCCTATGGATCCTAATTCCTACCCACAACCTGTAGCACCGTATCCTTATGCACCTGGTACCATGGTGACACAACAACAGTCAACTCAAGTTTATGGACAACCAGGTAAATTAAATAGGATCTGTATTGCAGAGTTAAAAGACATGGTTTTGGGTTTTTAAGCACTACTCTTTGATCTTGCACATTCTAATAAAATGTTGGGCATGCTTGTTAGCTTTCATAAAATGTATTAAGAAGTTTGACTACATCTAGAACAAACCTGTGGTTTCCATCAAACTTGGTCAAGTTGCAGTCATGAACAGCCGATTCCGGTCATGAACGGTTGATTCCCGTAAGAAACGACTTTTCCACAAAAAGAGAATGCCAGCGACGATAAGACTGTGTACGGTACTGTTGAGACTACATGTTATCGTCAGATCTGTTAAAATTTGTGAGCAATGATGCTTATTATATAAAACACAAATTTATATGGAAAGCAATCACTAGGTTTATTTCACACTATGTTTCAACAAGTTCCTCTTGTCGTTCTCAAGTGAGTAATGACAGTGTAATAGCACGAAATCAAATTATATACAACAAGGTAACAAAAAACAATAACTAATATGAAACCATCAAAGGGCTAATAAAAAGTACAATAATAACATTACCAAATAAACATAGAGGATATTGATTAAACAATTAATTAAAAATTATTATGTGGATCCATCAGTTCAGTTCTTTATTAACTTTGAGTATAAAACTCATCAGTATACATATAAATACAATATTTACATAATCTACAGTATGTACAATATTATAACAAAGTATATAAGTTGAGAGTGGAAATTTAAATTATATATCTACTATAATGTCATCAAAAATAGTAATTTGTTATTACAGTTAATTATACTAAACATCATTTAAGTAATAATCATTTAGGCTTTCTATATCCTTTTTAATTACATTATTTTATTTTTATTTTTTTAACCATTCTGATCGACGCTTATCGGCATATGATTTCTTGCTATTACACTGTCATTACTCACTTGAGAACGACAAGAGGAACTTGTTGAAACGTAGTGTGAAATAAACCCAGTGATTGCTTTCCATATAAATTTGTGTTTTATATCATATGTTCAGTTACTAAATGCCGTATAAGGATGCTTATTATGTGATGTATGATTATTAATTCTAGAGTTATTGCCCATAATTACTAGTGATAAAGTTATCATATTATATGATTTCTTACATCAGATATCTTATAAGAAACCAATATGCATTTTTAGAATAGTGTGACGAATAAAATTCTATAATAACTTGTAGAGTTCTTGTCCTTGCCTTGGTAACTATGTGGGATCATGTAACACACAGCAAAAACCTTTATGGAATTCTAAGACAGCTTAGCGGCTGTGGGTGTAAGCTTAGGTTTCCATATGTTTTTAACACATAAGCTTTAAAAAAAGAAGTGCAAAAGCTTAGTTGAATTTTTTGTATTTTTGCAGCACCATGTTTTCAGCCAAGTGCACCACCCAAGGATGGTTATGGTGAACCTCCTCCACCCTATTCACCCTACCCCCAACAAAACCATTATCCTCAACAAAACCCTTACCCTCAATATCCCAACTACCTTCAGCAGGTTAGTCACTTTTATACTGGTTTAAATATTTTTCCAAAATTAGATTTTTTTAAGAATAAAACGGATCTGTCATCCCTAATTAGAATTTAAAAGGCTTCAAAATGTTTCTCTGCCATATTTGACTAATATATCATACAAAACGTGGGAATATGCCGTGCAGTGTGCTGCAAATAAAATTTTCACCTGATAGTAGCATTCCCACCTAGTACTAAGGGTTCTTTTACATGCATGCCAACCGAACGACTAAACACTGTTCCTTGTCTGGCCCTCCATTCTGCACCACGGAGAAGGGAAAACTGGGATGGAAAATCATGAGGATATTTTTCTGTCAACACCGGGATGTGTTTCCTAATCTGTATATCCAGGTACTTTGATTGATAGTGATATTATTCAAGGAGTTATCATCTAAGAGTGCTAATAGTGATTTAACGATGTAGAATTGTAGATTAAAGATACATTATGGGAGATTAAAAAATAGTTAAAAAATAGATAATTCTGAAAATTTCAGTCAAATTGATCCACTCTGAACCGAGAATTTAGCAATTGATTTTTAGGCTAGCCTCGATCATCATTACTAAAGTCGGTATGATAAATTACATAGTCTTGATTATCCATTTTTTGATTTAATTATCAATGAGCGTTGAGCAGCAGATCGGGTTCTAATCCAGTAAATATCGCAGGCTAGCGATCACATCGAGAGATGATTATGGTCTGGATAAGTCAATTAATATCTAATTAATAATTTAGATAACATTTCAATCCTAAAGAAGGACCTGCAATTTGCAGATTTAGCTCTTGCATAATGTATGTTTAAGACATGGTTTACATAGACAATTTTTATTTGAAATGATTTTTATTTCGTCAAACAAAAAAAATATAGCCTTTTGCTGGCACTGAACTACACAAATTCAATGATTCAAGAAATTATAAATAATTACATCAACATTGCAGAAGATCCACTCTTAGTTATACCTGTATGTATGTACAATACAGGTATGCAGTAATATTTGGTGAAGTTATTCACTTTTTAAGAATAAACTGGTACCATAGTTAACTGAGAGCATAAGCTTAAGTGTCAAAACTTTGGGCAGGCAATTACTGTAACTTTTAATCCAGAAAGAAAATAGACCACAGCCGTTATAAGTACACTGTAATGTGTCGTGTCATATGCTTGAAGGATTGTGTAAAGATATTAATTATTTGCTCAATTTTTCAGCAAGGCTATCATCAAGCATCCTATCCCACACAGGCACCATATCCTACTCAACCTATGCCACAGACGGTTATAGTGCCAGGAGGTTTTGATGCTTGTGCCAGATTTAATGCGGGGGCGTCACTCAGTATTCCAGTAAGTACTGTAAATAAATTTTTATTGGATATTAAAAAAATAGTGGTTTAGCAGAAATTTTGATGGAGGTGGGCTCAGGGACAAAAGAGATCCTTCAGGGGTAAAGTGGATGAGTGATCTAAGGTCTGTTATCTATGCGAGACATGGGTTCAATGCCAGGTTTATACTCAGTGGGTGAGGAGTAAGGCCACCTTCCTCACCTCCTGAGGTTTCTCTAGGTACTCCAGTTTTTGCTCACAGCTAAAGAGTCCTGCTTGCGAGCCTTGTATTGAAATAAGCTCATGACAATACTTCAGCCATTTTGAGGTCCTCGTCTATGTTAATTTTTGAGGGGAGAATTTTGTTCAGAAAGTAACATTTCCACACTTCCTTCTGAATTCTAACTGCCAATAAAATTTTACACACACTACCAATTTATACACAGGATATTGCTTTTCCATCCCTTCCTTATTACTAGACAAATTCCCTAGTCTCATCTCATAAGCATAACTTCAGAGAATTGGACTTAATTAGTTTTTTTTGATACAGATTGATTCAGTTGTTATATTTATCTCCTTTCAGCCTCCACCACCAGGGGTGGCACCAAATGCGGCCCAGATGGCTGCATCTCAAGGTCACAATGTCTTCGCTACCCAGAAATCAAGTAATTGGGTAACAGGAGGACAAGGGGGTGGACCCATATTTTGATTCACAGAAAGAAAACGGGATAGAATCAATTTTGTTGTTTTAAAAAAAAAAGGCCAAATTTGTTGTGTATTTTGGCTAAGTTGTATAATATTTATTTATTTACATCAAATATTTTTACAGTGTATAAAGTTAAGATTGAGATATTATTCAAATGAGTATAAAATATTATTTTTTGGTCTGGTCTGCTTACTACTTTGTCTAACTGAATATCTATTCAGTTATATCACGCTTTGTGCTGTTTTCATTTAGTCATCAAAAGAATTGCCCATTAAGGGTATGTTTGATTTCTATCAGTTTCCTCAAATATATTGTTTTAAGAAGTCTATGTCAGAATTTATACTTGCCTGTAAAATTGATGATATATTGTTTTTGAATGTTTAACATTATGATCGGGTCCACTTCATATATTTGCTAATTTGGCATTGTTAAAAAGTCTGTTTCCTACTGAATTGGAACTTTCATTCCAATTACTTCATAATTTTATCAAAACTCGACTTGGCATGAAATTACTGTGATACAGGACAATATGTTTCACTATGAATATTTTATTAACAAAGCTACTATAAGCCCAGCTTATTAGTTTAAATTATATTGTAAACAGGAAGTGATGTAGTAATCTAGAAAGTTAATTTCTATTCTTTACCTACTGTATGCCTCTATTTTACTTATCCCATGTTGTACCCATGACATAGTTGACGATTCAGATAGTAGAATCAACAAAGCTTTTTATAATGTGTGGATTTGTAACACATATGTGGAATGATTCTTTTTTTCTTTTCATTTTAACCCTCTATAAACAATCGGCTAGGGGTGAGATGATGGTGAAATGTTGTCCTTTAAAATGTAACAGAAACAGTAAAACTAACATAATGCAGTTGAAAGAAATTATATAATTATTTCTACAGTAGTTTAGTTGATAATAACAAAATTATTGTCTATATCATTTAAGTTATATTTTTTATGAATGAAATCAAATTTACTATAAATTTACTAATGGTTGTGTCACATCAATTGCCTTCAAACTTTTTTATCCATTATGTGTCACATGGAGGGCAATATTTAAATTAACTCCCTTATTGTTGAATCTTATTTTTTATGAAGTAAATTTAAGTGTTATGTGCCTTGGCTTCATCTATTCAGTCCTTCATGTTTATAAAATTGTGCGGGAGCCATAAAAAGCTCCTGATACCTTGAATATATGCAGTTTAAAAGTAAACAAAAACTGAAAGTAGTTTATTAATCTCAATGTTTAGAAGAGCGATTTAGCTAATTTGCAGGAGTCTTTAATGACTCCTTTGAAGGAAAGTCAACGTGCGTCGAGAGGAGCAGGAGCGAAAGCTCCCCTTAAACGTGAAGGACTGTCTATTCCATGTAGGAAGAGCCAAAAGTAACTGTCTTTATTTAGATTTAGTGTATAAATTTAAACTATAATTTGTATCTATTTTTATGATAACTTTTACCTATTGTTATTGGCACTTGTGTTTTTTAACATGATAAATTTCAGCTTTATAAACTTATGTATATTTGTGTAATTTACAGAACATTATTAACTCTCTTTTACTGTATCGTCATCTGGTGTCCTTTGATAAACTAACTGCTGGTTTTAAGGTATGATGGATTGTGTCTTGCTCATTATAGAAGATCTATAAGTTATTGCCTTTAAAGTTTGTGCCTATATAACATTTGTTGTGGTTTATAAGACTTATGTATATTTAATTATGTTGATGTATATTTTTATATGCCCACATGGCACATTAAACATCACTCTGTCCAACTTTCCTTATGTACATTCTACACAGTACAGTTATTGTCAGATTTCTTTTCAAATTCATAGTGGTTATTCATATGGTTTTAAAGAAGAACCCTATGGAAATTTAAAATATTCTATTATTTCCCCATTTATCAGTTTCAAGCTAAATGGGGAAATAACCATATTAAGTTTCAAAATTTTTACCAATTTATATGGCATTTAATATGGTGACTTTTGAGACTTGTAACAGAATTTTTTAAACCCTGGTGAAATTGCTCATTGGAGCTAAGTAAGAACTATAATAATTTTTTAAATTTTAGGACAGGCCTACAGGTAGTAAACTTCAAATGCATGTTATTTTTTGGTTTACAATTTTACTTTTAAGAGTTAGTGCAGAGTTCAGAATAGCTGCATTAGGTTTGTTAACAATGATTTTAGAGTTAACATGGACAACATTGCTGCTGTCACTGTTTTATTGAATAAGCTTAGTAATTATTTCAGCTAATTATATATTTATTTATTTTTGTGCATTATAAATGTTTTGTATAGTTGTTATGATTATAGTACACATATAATTATTTAATATTATAAGGTCGTTTATATTAATGGATTATTTATCTTAATATATTTTATAAATTCTCTTGAGAGGTCTGTTGAGAACTAGAGTTGATATTGTCATTGAAATCATCAGTCAGTAGTCAATACTAATTAACTGGAACGTGCTTGGGAGCGTCTCAACATCTCAAGTACCCTAGTTCTGGGCAGCCTGTGTATATATTTTTTTTTTTACTTTTTACAATCTTACATCTATTAATCAAATAACTTTGTTTATATACAACTGTTTGAACAACGGGTTATTCTATAAATTAACTGTCATAGACGTTAAATGATTACAATCAAATTAACAGTATTTTAAACAGGGGCCGTGAGTGTCAAGTTTTCTTTTAAATCAAATAGTGCATTCAGTATATATTCTGTGATTAATTTATAAACATATTTTTTTTTAATTTTATTTTGTAAACTCAGAGAGATCAAAGTTATACTCCCAAGTTAATTGAACAGTATTTATATGTGCTGTATCTAGCTTAAATGTGTGCTCACCCTTAGTGGAAGTGGACGTAAAACTCCAGGAACGAACGAACAAAGCTTAAAGGAGCTAAATCGCTAATATTTGGGACCTAGAAATTGACCCAAATGGGTCGCAACGCATATAATAATGTAATCTGATTGTATAAACTGATTTACATTCAATTGTTTCCGTTGACTAATTTCAAATCAGTTATGTCCAGCAAAATACAGCACGAGTCTCAACCGAATAGCAAATTTCTAGCGCCTGGTTATTCCAATCTATTGCGCATGCTCTCCAGATAAGATATTGCGTCACCCTTTGACATGAGGTGTGGAATATGTCTAGCCTCGTTCTTTCTGGTCAGTTGTTACAAATGACGCTGAAACACACTATGGTAGGCCTACACGATTCGTGTACCAATGGTAAAATGTTTACTTTGTCTTAAATATTGGATATCAGAAGCCTACCTTTTCCTGGTAAGATCACAACATCAATGTTGATTTGAATTGACAAATAATTCGTATTTTCAACGTGTAAGTTGGATGATATTGAGTTAGAGACTTATAGCTACTTTAACGGGTTTAATTTATTTATCAGATGCTGTTAATTTATATTCTTAATCTATATTTAAAGCAAGGATCTCTATCTGGATAAGTGTGTATTACTGTTATATAATAAATCTATAATCAGTAGAATTGTTTTATTTATTTTCATTTTTAGCGGAATGGAATAATTTGATCTCAACCCAACAGGTCAATCTGTTTCACGAGCGAATATTCAGGCCATTAAATAGAGTTATTCCCCTTGGTATCGTTCACCGTAAAGGCTAAATCTATTTTTTTAAGGCCAACTGAATTATTGTCACTGTGGTTGAGATGTAAATAAGGTAAGGACACGTGATTGTTGGCGAGATTGAAGGTTAGGGTAAGCATTGGGGCTAGGTCCAGGGCTAGGGTTATCGGGAGGTGAGGGTTCTTTACAGATCCCCCCACAGAAAGCACGGGCCGTGGGTCTAACGTTTCCTAACCCATACGGGAATCGAACCCATGACGGCACCCATTCGCCTCGCAGTTGCCGGCCCAGCGCTCTACCACTGAGCTATCGCACAACCATAAAAAAGGTTGATTGGGAACTCAGCGATAAGGGCGCCTGTCGACAACTACTGATTTTATTTATGAAATTCGATCGAACTTAGCCCAGGCACTGGCCTGGTTAGGGTTATCGGGAGGTGAGGGTTCTTTACAGATCCCCCCACAGAAAGCACGGGCCGTGGGTCTAACGTTTCCTAACCCATACGGGAATCGAACCCATGACGACACCCATTCGCCTCGCAGTTGCCGGTCCAGCGCTCTACCACTGACCTATCTCTACCGACTATTTTCATCGCGATTCTTCTTTATTCGCCAAAAGAAACGATTTCTCGCCACATTTGACACAAATTATAATAATTCAACACTATTTTCAAGTAGAATTTTGCATTTAAAAACGCATGTTTGAGTCGCTTATGGTAATGGCTGATCAGTTCAAATGTATTTTGTGTATGTTTTTAAATCGCAACATTCTACTTGAAAATAGTCTTAGGCTTTTTTTAAAAGGGTCGCCCAAAGAAGTAGAACAGCAACAAGATTACCATTTGTATCGAACATGGAACCAGTTTCTTTTTAAATGTGAACGTTTGAATCACGGATAATAGCGGGAATTAAAGTGGATTAAACACTGACCTGACTGGAAAGTTTCCCGAATATTTGACAAAATCTTGGGTCTGTGTAAACAATTCCAAACTCTTCAAGAGTTTAGTTGCACCAAAGAATGACAGATATTCATAATATTGAAAAAATATCGAAATATACTATTCAAAAAAAGTAGGGGATATTTGATTTTGGGGGCATAATACTAAAATATGCAAATGACTACGAAAAAAGTCACTATTGAACCTAACAGAAGAAACATTTCCAGTTACATGTGACGCCCAAACGCACCAATATCTACCGCATGGAATGCAGGTGATGCTTGGGATCATCATGGGGGTCCAACCCAAGATTTGCACGACTCTGACTTTGAATGTTACAGTCATTGTGGCATTGAATTCCAGGGTGGAAACATCAGTTTAATTGTTTTAGTGACCAGAAAACAAATTTTGATATGCGTCGGCTTACCCAAAATGAAAGGTTACGTGCCCTTGGCATGCTACAGATCGGCACAACACAGGCGGTTGTGGCGCGGACGATGAATGTTTCTCAGTCTGTCATAAGCAGGCTATGGTCCAGATACCGTGATACACAATCTGTACAGGACAGACCACGCTCAGGTCGACCAAGGGCGACAACTCAAGCCCAGGATCGATTTATCCGTACCTTGGCCTTGAGAAATCGTGTCATCACAGCAAATCAGATCAGCGCTCGTCTTCAAACAGACACTGGTGTGAGAGTGAGTGGCCAGACGATTCGGAATCGACTGCATAGGGGTCACCTTCGCGCCCGACGTCCTCGCGTGATCCCTTGTTTGAGAGATCATCACATTCAGGCAAGACGTCGTTGGTGTAGGGATCGTCAACACTGGGATAATCGACGCTGGAGCAATGTGATGTTTTCAGATGAGTCAAGGTTCACTGTTGATTTTTTGGACAGACGTAGGAGGGTGTGGCGTCGTCGAAACGAGCGCTTCCAAGACGTTAACGTCATCAGACATGATCGATTTGGGGGGGGGGGGGTTCTGTTATGGTGTGGGGAGGCATCACTGTTGCTGGAAGAACGGCTTTACATGTTGTTGCAGGGCGTGTTACAGGCCAGTACTACCGGGACAACATCTTGGCAGTCCATGTTGTGCCGTTCGCACGACGTCATGGCCGCCGTTTCATCTTCCAGGATGACAACGCAAGATGTCACAGGGCCAGGATCGTTACAGGTTACCTCCAACAACAGAACATCACCACATTACCTTGGCCAGCACTGAGTCCCGACCTCTCCCCCATCGAGCATGTCTGGGACATGCTTGGACAGAGGTTACGTCAACGTCAACAACGTCCTGCCAATGTCCAAGAACTTGCTGCTGCGTTGCAACAGGAATGGGACAATCTGGACCAAAATGACCTTAGACGTCTCATTAGGAGTATGCCACGTCGGATCAATGCTTGTTTGGCAAACAGAGGAGGATTTACCCGTTACTGACTTGGTTGTGATGCTGTGGTAACTTTGCTGTTTGACCACGGGTATCATTTTACCCTTATAATGGTCAGTCTGTGCCTTACTTAGTCTAACGATCATTTGGAATAAATCGATGAATGTGAACTTCATTTCATTTTGTCATTTGTTTCTTCGTCAGTTTCATTAGGTGACTTTAATAACACTTAAAAATCAAATATCCCCTACTTTTTTTGAATAGTATATTTAAAATAAAATCCGATATGATTTTGATTCTTGACTATGATTTAACTTATTGCCCCTTTATAATTGTTTTTAAAGCTCGGGGGCCACGGTGGCTCACGATGACTCAGTGGATAGGACGTTGACTAACTAACCTGGAGGCCCCGTGTTCTATCCGTGCGTTGTCCGAGAAGTTCATTGGGATTTTCCGGCGTGGTTCCCCCTTGTAAGTGATGTAGGACGGAGGGTCTGGCAATGAACAATGTATATTGGTTCGAAAAATCGAGATTCCGTGTAAACATTAGCGTGCACGTAAAAGAACCCTTAGCAGATGGAATAAGAGTAGGCCATAGCGTCGCTGTCCGGGCAAAAATTTCACCATAGCACACTGTATGGCGTATACCCGTCTTCATTAGCCCAATAGAAGCAGAAGGACATTAAACCTCATTTCATTTCATTTCGTCAGAGGCGATGCAAAAAGAAAAATGGATCAATAGACCTATGGTCATCAGTTTCTATCCAATATACTGAATCGAGTTTCTTTTGCATAGCTACGGTATAGTTGTTAATGAATCTGGTCTGACCATCATATGTGTACCAGCAACAAATACAAGAACATACCGCTTATCAGGAGATGTAGACTACGGAAGCGTGTAAGGGACATGCAATAAACTATGACCAGAAACCGGACATGTGTTATCGCTGCGCAATTCTCCAAATGTGAAGCATGTCAAGTTTCATATCGATCGTACTTGAATTGACGGAGCCGTATGCTTTTTATGAAGTGCGTAGCTTGTGGGCCCAGTTAGCGGTTCAAAATATATCTAGCACTCTTGTTCTGTTCCCGAACACACGTTTTACCTTGTGCAAGTTAGTTGTTATCTGGCGCAAGTTAGTTGTTATCTGGCGCACACTTCTTACATGTGCTAAACCCATAATTCTATAAGTCGTCGCACAATATTACTATGGATCTAGATCGAAGCGAGGGTGGCAACCAGCTGTCTTGATTAGTTGGGGGGGGGGTACATTTTATATACATTTTATATTACTGTTCCCAGGACTTACGCCCTTGGATTGGAGTAAGAATACCCCCGACTGCATCTCACAATAATGATAATTAATTTTTCATATAGCGATTTACATTAAAAAATCTCAAACCGCTGTACATAAAGTTTATAAACATGTAAAAATATTAATTGGTCATTAGATATAAGCGCATTATGTTGAATAACATTTTCGAAAAACTAGGCAAGGAATTCCATAGGGTTGGTGAAAAAGCACTAAACGCGCAAACACCGCAAAGTTCTTGACGGTTTGAGTCGAATTGGTTGACACGAAAGTTTCACACCGTCAGCACTGCGACTATTTCTCACCAGCGTAGCAACGTAAATTAGCTCAGTGAGCTAGAGTGGCGCAGATGTTGTATGACGGATCAACTTGAAAATTATACAGATGATTTTTAACTGGATCCTTCAAGTGGTAGCCAGCTGAGTTTTATCAATATGGGCATAATAGCTGCATGACGCCCCAACTTGCGTTTGATTATTAAGCGAGCAACAGCATTCTGAATGTGCTGCAATTTACGGAACTGGTAACCATATGAACCAAATAGTAAGCAATTGCAATATATCAACCGTGAAATCACAAAAGCGTGGACAAGCTTCCCAGTCGCGCTCTGATCAAGGAGCCTCCGAAGTTTGCCAATATGCCATAGAGCAAACGACGCCCCCTTGCACACATTAGTGATATGAGTGTCCATAGTTCCCTTTGAATTCATCAACGAGTGTGCCTTTAACCAAGGTGTGGAGGAGATTAATGTTCTTTCTCGCCCTCCTATTCCCACCCACAGGCACTTGAAGGGATTAAAATAAAACTTCGTACTAATGCTTGACTATACATTACAGTAATATATAGTCAAGCAGTAGTAAGAAGTTTTATTTTAATCCCTTCAAGTACCTGTGTTCCCACCCTACATTGGACTAGTCTCTCAATCAAAATTGATTCTTCTTACCTAGGAATCGTTAATCTGCTATATCACCCTCCGTGGAAGCGGACGTTAAGCCCCACGAACGAACGAACGTGTGCGCTAGTTATTATCCAGCGCGCGTCAAATAATAACTAGCGCACTAGATAGATAAAATATATTTTATTATTTTGTGTTCCGTACCAGACTCCGTAGACGACTTATAAATAATAGAATTAATTAACGGACACTAGATACCAGAATGTCGTGATGTTATGGGCACCTGTTTGTCCCGGGGGTATACTACAGAATATAAAGTGTATATTAACACGCTAGTCTCATTTATTAATTATATTATAGGTTT